AGAGAGAGAGAGAGAGAGAGAGAGAGAGAGAGAGAGAGCGCGAAGGGGGGAACGCGCACACGACGGAGGCGGGACGGAGAAGGGGCGACGTCGGCAGCGGGGAAGTAAGACAGAGAGAAAGAGAGAGAGAGCGCTCTCCGGAGTCACGCTTCGAGAGTCACGGGGTAGTTATTGCGCGCCGCGCGATAGCTAGAGACTGCTAGAGGAGGCGAGAGGGTGCGGACGGGGGCACGGCGGGCAGAAGGGAGAGAAGGAAGGAGGGGGTACGACGCTCGACAGAACGAGGCGAACGGATAAATTAGAGAGTGTCAGAGGGAGACGGAAGGGCGAACGCGCTGGCGCGCGCTGAGCGAGGCCCCTGGTCCGGGGGATGGAAGAGGCAGGGGGGAAAACGAGCGCGCGGAGGACGGCTAAGCTGCAAGTTGACGGAAGGGGTGCCGGCCGGTGCGGTCGGGGTAGGTAGGTGGCGGGGCGGAGCTACGGATTGCCAGGGGTTGGCTCTCCGGACTTCTCATAGGACGGAGTCGCGATCGATGACTCGCGCCGCACACGACTACCCGTCGGGGTAACCCTCGCCGCGGACCAATCGCGTCGGTCGCGCCGTCCTTAACTCGAAAGATACTCGCCCTCGACGGTTCCCGCGGAACGCGCCGCGCCGGGCTGACACGGGGTGGTTATACCGACGAGGCGACGATCGAGGGAACGCGGGGCGCGAGAGGAACGCGAGAGCGAGGGGGGGTAGGTTACGCGCGACGAAGGGTGGACGGCTCGAAAGGGGGAGAAGCGGGATGCCGGCTTGTGTGGGGGTAACACACAACCCGGTGGCGGTGGCCGTGCCACGCCGTGTTACTTATCCATTATAACACTCCAAGATCTTGATTTAAGCCTGCAGCCAGTGGTGAGCTTTTAACCAATTAGCCTTTATAGCCTACCCCCTCCGGCCCCCTGCTTCGTCGACCCCACTCTATCCCGCCCTTCTGGCTCTCGACTCTTCCTACCGTGTGGCGCGCGATGGTATAGCCGCCGTTGCTGTACCTATATATCCTATACCAACGTCCTCGTCCACAACCGCACGATATACTCACCTAATCTACTGACTCTCCTCATCTCTCTCTCTCTCTCTCTCTCTCTCTCTCTCTCTCTCTCTCTCTCTCTCTCTCTCTCTTCCTCTCTCTCTCTTCCTCTCTCTCTCTTCCTCTCTTCCTCTCTGTCGGTTTCATCTCTCATTCGGCTCTTCTGACTCCTCTCTCGCTTTCTCCGTTTATCTCTCTGTCTCTCTCTTTCTCCTTCTCCCTCTCGTCGCCTTTGTCCCTTCTCGTTATGTACCTACGCGCATTATGCGCGTTGGTGTATTAGCGCGGTGCATTCGCGCGTGCACGTACGTTAAGCACGTAGCGCGCCGGAAGACGCGCGCGTATTCGAGTCGCTTCGCAGGATGAAGAGTATTCTCGCGCGGAGCTTAAATATGCGCCAGGGCGACGCAAATTAAGAGCGGACCACGGGCGATTCGGGCCGCGATCGTCCACCTCCCTCACCGCTTCCTTCGCTGGCGTCAGGGCGATGCGTCAGGTTTATCGATTCGAGAACGCTTCCTCGACCTCTCTCTCCCTCTCTCTTGAACTGTATCCATCGTGAAATGATAATAGCACTGTGTTCGCGGTCATCCAGTACCGCTTAAGGCGATCGTGTCGACTATATTTTGATTGCTTCTCCTCTTTCTTTAGTATAAGGCCTCTAATGTCTCGGTATATATTTATTTCTACACATCTCGATTCCGACGTATTTTCGATGTCAATACAGACAGAAATCTCTTTCCCGGCAATCATGCCTACACTGAGAAAAAGTGGTTGGATTGGCAAAATCGTCGGTCATCGGCTTTCAAAGAATTATTGTATTTATTGAACAAATTACGTGTTGTGCAACAATAAGTTGTGTTGATATAGGTGGTATATATATATGTCTATAACTCATCACAGCAGCAATACAATTCGTCCAATTGACTAAACGTTTGCTCGATCGAATTTCGTTCGTTCAAGCAAAGTCTCATTAAATCAACCATTTTTCTCTTCAGTGTAATATTATACCTTCCGATTGAATTCTGGCAAACACATCCTCTCTCTCGTAATCTACCGAGCTGATCAATGCAAAGCTATTCAATCCTATTTAATATCACTGGTTCCCGCCGACGAAAAGTCGTTGGTGACATCCTTGGCTTTCGGCTTGGAAAAACGACGCGTCTCGTTATATGGATCATTGTCATTATCAAACATCGGCAACAATTGCATGCCGAGATATGAATGTTGTAAAAATTTGTTAGGAAACACTTGTATTGTATCGGTCGCTTTTTCACCTGTAAAGGTATTTCTAGCTTCGTGCAACTAGAAACTGGCGCCCAGCGATTAGTCGGCAGTTTATACACGCTTGTACAAGAATGCACTTTGACCCGACGATTGCGCGCGCGCGCGTTCAATGTACATTCTACAAGTACACATTCCAAATGACTTGCAGCTGCCCGAGATATCCCCGATACTAAACGCATCACCGTGATTTTTTGCCGGCAATCATATCCAATATTACACCTTCCACTTCGATTCCGACAGGTTCATCCTCTCGTAATTCACCGAGAGGGTTGATTAGCGCGCAACGTTATTTAATCCAATTTACTAGCCCGACTGAGGGACAAAGGGGATAAAGGCGAGGGGGAAGAATAGAGAGATGTAACCGATAGAGAATATCAGAAGTCGACCCCTTTCTTTCGAGTTCGAGATAATTAAAGCATAGCTATAAACAAGATGTAACGTAGTAAAAACGCGAAGAGGCAGAGTGCACTAACGGCCGGCACTCAAAGTTGGCCGGACGCAAATGAGCGGCGCGCACGCCACGATAGCCACACCTCGACTCGCGATAGCGACCGCGCTCTCGTGGGCTTTCCGCAGGAAGAGCCGCGAACCGACCGCTCCAAGCTCGCACGAGAATCGAGCTTCCGTCGTGCTGCCGTCGTGGCCGCTTTCGCGAGCGCTGCGGGAATGAACGGATTGTTTGCGCGTTTATGTAAATACCGGGCCGCAGATTGACTGCGACGTCAAGTCGTTTCTGCGAGCACAGTCCTCCGCGAGGAACTGAATTGCGCGATCACAGATCTTCCGCGAGAGAGACTCTCTTCTTCGTATTTAGGGACTTTTCAGATTCTTGTCGCACGACTTCCTCTCTCAGAATTTAGAATACAGATCGCGCGGACGCTGATAAATGCTCAAACACGGCGCATTTACTTTCTCTCTCTCTCTCCCATGTGATTGTCTAAGGGCTCACTCACACCTTGGCAGAAAATCGGAAAAGTAGAAGCCAATCAGAGCTCGTACTGGTAGTCAGATGGTAGTCGACTAGTTTTTGCTCTTCTACCAGCACCAGTTGTGATTTACTTCTGCCTTTCTATTTTCTGCTTTTCTGCTAAGGTGTAAATTCTCTCTAAGAAGTGATTCGTACATGCTCAAACTGTTGGCAAACGTCTGGTGAGTTTGCTGAAAAGCTCGAACGTTAATGTATCAATAGAGTATCGTTTTTGTGAGTCGATTATGGAATTATTTATTAATTATTTGTGACTAATTAATTTATTAGCTATCTGTAACTAATAGATTTTGATACAAACGCGTACACATTAGCGACCGCGCGCGAATCGATGTATGTGTATATATATATCCCCGTGCAATAAACGCGCACTCGATTCACGTTATGACGGATGGTCATATTCCATTCACGCTCCAATCACGATTCGGTCAAATATCCTTTAATGCGTTTGAATAGCGCTGTACACCCGCGACCGCGCTCAAGTCATGATATGATTTCGCACGATGGCAATTTTTTCTTTTTCTCTCTTTTTTTTTCAAACACCGCGCGCGCGTCGCGCACGTCCACCTACCATTATTACTCGGAGATTTCAAATTTTGCACGCAATATTTTGCGAAACTCACCAGAGAGGGTTGAATATAGTCGACGAGATATAGAAGCTAAAATAACTGGAGAATTATCTGGTCGAATAATGCGAGTTTGAAAACAGTTTATATACCTCTAACGTTTAATTAGACTAATTTGTATTTGGGTGTATATTGAACACGCGTCAAGTCAAATTGCATGTACGTGTATGTGTATATATACAAATTGTCAGCAAATCGCTGAACGTCAATCGGCTTTTACTTGTAAAGGTACAAACGCCTTTTCATGTAGTGGATTAATTAATAAGAGCACTGTATAAGAGTTTCTCTGAATAAATTCTTATGTCAAATCTCAATCTTCATGTTTCGGCATGCATCGATACTTAAAATCGTCAAATTTGTCGCGTCACTTTTCAACACCAGACTATGAAGGGAAGTCATAGTAAAAATCATTATATA